GTCTGTGACAGCAGCACTGGATGACTGAGACAGTGCACTGTGGTGTCTGTGACAGCAGCACTGGATGACTGAGACAGTGCACTGTGGTGTGTCTGTTAGAAAGTCTGATGACTTAGGCACATGGCCAGGAGGGACTGATCCTTTAAGAAGGAACTCATGCTTGGAAGGATGGAGGGACTGTGTGTGTGTGCGTGTGTGGTGTCCACTCTCTAGACTTCCATGTGTGGTTGAGGCTGGACAGACACCCTGGAGATGGCCATGCCTTTGACCTCCACTTGGCTTTGTCTTTAGTCTGATGGGTATCTGGCGAAGCCATGGGCTTGAACTCAGATCTGTCAAGTGGTCATTTGGGTGTTGGTGACAGAGAAGACAATGACTCCCCTCCCTCCCACCACCCTCCCTTGTCATTGCATCACTTTGAAGATCTGTCAAGATAATAAAATAGAAACTATTTTAGATAAGGAAAAGGGCTATGGCAGTGCAAGTAGTGATGTGTTCTCTTTAAGAAAGGAAGGTTGGGGGCCCCTGCCTGGGGCTGGAGTGCAAACCCCGTGTCTGCCTGCTGAGAGCTGTACTTGTCCTTGCTGCCCAGGGACACCTGCTCCGCGATCGGCGTGGACAGTAGGGCTTTGTCATAGGTGTGCATGGAAAGGAGCAGTGAAACGGCCTTTGTCACCTCGCTAAGCCCTGCATTGCACATGGGGACCGGCATGAGGACTGCGTGTAGGACCTGGGAAGAGAGGCCTGGCTGTCCTTGGATCTCCCGTGCGCCGTCTCTCCCGTGTGGTCTGTTGGGAGCTGCAGGCACACAGACCCCATCCATTCAGCAGCTGACAGCCAGGGTCTGTGTGTAGCAGAGTCCTCAGAGGGCCCCAGCACACAGCCACTTCGAGAAGCTCCCTCCACCGCACTGGTGGGTGTTTCTCTGGGAGATCTTGGGGTTCTCAGCTCCTTCTCAGAAGTAGAAGTTGCACGAGAGCAGGCTCTTGGGCCTCGGCCCAGGCTCAGTGCTGGCGTCAGGGCCACTCGCTTTTGCCTTCTTGTCACTTCTTTAGTCCCATGTCGTTCCCTCAACCTGTGGTGGGCTTCGCGGCTTCCTCCTGAGCAGCTTCTCCCTGTTAGAGGACAAGAAGAACCAACAAGTTTCTGTTTCCTCGATAAGCTCCCAAGCTTGGACTTGACCGTGTGAAGGGAGGGGCACAATGTTGGCATTACAGCCAACTGGACCCCAGTGTCCACCTGGCTGTACTGCCTTGGGAAGGACACTCAACCTCCATTTCTCACCTGTGAAATGGACATGAGAGCTTGATGTTGCCGAGAGGCGTGGGCCCAGGGTCGGGCAGGGTCATCCTCTTGCTTGGGGAAGCGGTCCCAGGCCTAACCGAGGGCTGTGTCCTCTTTCTGTGTCCACCACAGATGACGTCCGGCTCTTCGCCTTTGTGCGCTTCACCACCGGGGACGCCATGAGCAAGAGGTCCAAGTTTGCCCTTATCACGTGGATTGGCGAGAACGTCAGCGGGCTGCAGCGAGCCAAGACCGGCACCGACAAGACCCTGGTCAAGGAGGTGGTCCAGGTAACCCAGGCTTCTCTGAGGGTCTGCGGCTTCTTAGCCACTGGACCACCTGGGCTTTTTGCTTAAAACATTAATGACGTTATAATTAGAAATAATACAGATTTATGTACTTACCAAGTGAGGAGACATAGTCCATGGTTCAAACCCACCAGCCACTTGGGGAGAGAGAGGAGGAGGGTCTTTTCCGGTTAAGATTACAGCCTCGGAGACTTGGTGGAAGGAACCCAAGGCAGAATGGAATTGATGGCCGTGGGTTCTGGTTTGGTTCAAGTGTCAAGCTTACCGGGACTGCAGTGAAGTGCTGTAAGGTGGAGGCACTGTTGACGGACATTGTTCTCAGTGTCAGTGAGCCGACTGACTTGTGGTGACCCCGTACCCGTCAGAGCGGAGCAGAGCTCCGTAGTTCTCAGTAACCGGTGTTCTGGAGGTCCAGCCCCGGGTCGCGGGGCTTTATCCCAGAGCTCTGTCGCATAGCTGCGAGCACACTGACCTGCCACACTGTCCTGGGACTCCAGACGCCAGCTTTGGTTTCAGTTGGTGTTTCTCACAGGTGCCGTCAAGTTGACCTGCCTCACAGTGACCCTCTGAAGAGCAGATCTGAACCCTGCCCCGTCCTGCCCCGTCCTCTCCATGTGTGTCAAAGTCGAGTTCATTGTCACAGTCACTGTGTCAGTCCATCTCACTGAGGCCTCTTCTCTTTCTCTGACGCTCTGCCTTTCCAAGCATATCTTTTCCCAAGGACTGGCCCCTCCTGACATCCTGCCCAAAGGACAAGAGACAGAGCTTCACGGTCCTGGCCTCTGCGGAGTTCCTGATTATGCTTCCTCCAGGACGTGCTTGTTTTGTTCTCTTGAACATGCATGGGATACTCAGTACTCTTCTCCAACACCACAACTCGGCATCATTGATTCTTCTTCTGACATCCTTAGTCATTGTCCAGCTTTCACACACATAACAAGTGATTGAAAAGATGATGGCTTAGAGCAGGTGCACCTTAGTCTTTCAACAGACACCATTGCTCTTTAGTGGTTTGGCGAGGTCCTTGATGACACATTTCCTCAGTGCATCATGTCTTGATTTCTTGACTGCTGATACCATGGTGTTAATTGATGGCTGGCATTAGATTTCTTTAAATCCAGAATCTTTTCCATTTGGTCCGATGGGCCACTGACTTAAGGAGGTTCTCGAAGGAGTCCTGGTCACAGCTCATTTGTTTGCAAGCATGAATCCGGGCTTTGCAGTGTCCGTGCTGGTTCTTCTGTCCCGTGTCCCCTTTCAGACAGCACCTTGATGGATGGTTTGAGCAGAAAACATTTCTGCCTTGAGGATAGTTTCCTTATGAGACGATATGGCCGTGTGCTGAGCCCTGGCGTGTCGCATGAATCTTGTCATTATTGCTGTTGATCCATGGTGTCTAGTCGCCTTCCAAAGGCTCGCCCCAGAGTCCTGGCCCCCAGAGACAGGAAGGAGCAGCCGGCACCTCCTTCAGACCTTCCCGCAGGGCCCCTCTCTCTGCCGTCTCACCTGTGGCCTGCTCCTCAGGTGCATCAGCCTTTAGGGAAACTGAGGCCCAGGGTCGAGCATGCCCAGACCCACAGCAGGCTGTTGGAGTTAGAGCCTAAATCAAACCCAAGCCCCCCTCCACTGAGTCATTGTGGACTGAAGGTGACCCTGGAGGACAGAGCGGACTGCCCTAGGACGTCCAGTCTTCACAGGAAGCAGACTCCCTCATGTTCCACCAGCACTCTGGGGAGGGAGCCAGAGGAGGTCAGTCAGGCGTCCGGCCCGGCCTCTTCGTGTGTGTTCAGTGTCAGGCTGAGACACAGCATGCCCACAACTGGGGAAGAACAAGGCAAGACTAACCCCAGAGAGGGCGTGGGCCACAGTAGAGGCTGTGGGGGCATGAGCATGGGAAAGGGGGTGGGAGGAGGTGGACAGCTGCTACCTGGACAGGTGGCCTGAGACACGGGGCAGCGTGAGGAAACCCCTCCCCCCCCAGCATCATTCCTGTACCACAGTGGAACTGTGGGGACAGGGCAGTCAGGACTGCGGGGACGGGGAGGTCAGGACAGCGGGGACGGGGCGGTCAGGACAGCGGGGACGGGGCGGTCAGGACAGCGGGGACGGGGCGGTCAGGACAGCGGGGACGGGGCGGTCAGGACAGCGGGGATGGGGCGGTCAGGACAGCGGGGACGGGGCGGTCAGGACTGCGGGGATGGGGAGGTCAGGACTGTGCGGACAGCGTGGTCAGGACAGCAGGGACAGTGGCCAGGCCAGGCCGTCTTGGTGGGGGTCAGCCTCCAGGAAGCAACGTGCTCGTCTTACACAGTGGTTTGCTCCTCCTGACTCTTTTCCTTTGTTTTCTGACATCATACAAGTGTCTGCTGAGCCGGGCCTCCCCGGGGCATCTCAGCTTTCAGCGCTGAGGACAGAGAACACCTAGTATTTCCTCCAAGAGGGGGAGGGTGCCTAGCACAGAGAAGTGCAGAAATACCCAGCAGGCAGGTGTGTTGATGAGTCCAGACCTCAGGGCGGGGTGGACGTGAGGTCTGGCCTGTCCCCACCTGGCCTCCCGCACTCCAGGGACACTCCCTCTGAGGGCCTCTTTCACGTGCTCACGTGGAGCTGTGGTGTCAGCCAGGAATATTGAACATACGTGGACTCCCAGGACGGACAGCTGCCTCAGAAGGGCAGCCAGGGTGCTCCTTAGAGATGAGGACGGGCCTCCCTCGTGTATGCTTTGGTCATGTTACCAGGAGGGACCAGTCCCTGGAGCAACAGAGGGTGAGCAGAAAGAGGTGGCCCCTCCACGGGGTGGACGGACACAGGGGCTGTGACACTGGGCTCGGCATGGCCGTGGTGGGGAGCATGGAGCAGGACCGGACGGGCTTCCCTTCGGCCGTCTGTGGGATTGCTGTGAACTTGCGCTGATGCGCCAGCACCTGACAGCAACATGGTGTGTTTGACCGTGGCCCTGCTCGCGTGGGTCAGAATGACGTGCCCAGCCCCACGGTGATCTCCTGGGCTGCTGTGCTGTGGTGATTCTGGTGCCTAGGAAAGTGCTGGCACTCAGCAGGTTCCTGGAGAGAGAACCAGCTCTGTTTACACAAGTTCTGGTCTGTCTTGCTTCTTTTTTTTTTTTTTAAATGTTTGGGTAGTTGTTTGGGTTTTTTCACACTGGTTTACTTACTAAGTTCATACACATTGTTTTTCACACCGAATCCTTCCCTTTTCCTTCACCCACCGTTCCCTGTCTTGTTTCTTGTCTTATTTCTCGAAGCACCAACCCCACTGCCCCGGAGCCAGTTCCCGCTCTGAGTAGAACCGCCCTGCAGGGTCCCCAGCTCAAGTGTCCGCAGGAGCAGGCAGCCTCACCTTTCTCCCACGGAGTGGCTTTTGGGTCTGAACTGCTGACCTTTTGGGTAGCCGCTGGACAGAAAGCTTAGAGGGAACGGGTGGGGCCAGGCGGAGAAGGCAGTGTAGTGAGTTCAGGCGGGCCTGGCCATCGTAGCAGCCTTGTGCTCCGCTCAGGGACCATCCGTATTCTTCACTGCTCCCAGGACTCCAGCTGCTTGTTTTCATGGTGTGTGTTAGGTTTCTCCCAGTGGTTTGTGGAAAGATTCTTCATCTCCTTCTGGGGCTGGGCAGAGCACCTGGGGCTGGAACGGGGCCAGTGGGGAGGGTGCCTGTAGCTGACGTCTTGATTTGTGCCTGGTTGAAAAGGAGGGGCATCCTCTAAGCATGCTGCTGTGATCGCGTAGTAAAGGGGGAGGAAACAAGCACAGCCAGGTGGTGGGAGACTGGGGACCACTTCAAAGATGGGGATGTATTACAAGGATGAGAAACCAAACCGAAAGAAAAGCAAATAACCAAACCCACAGCCTAAAGCGTCAGGACCCTGCATTCCCTCCTCTCTGGCCATGTCTCCCGTTAAGCATAGCAGAATGGCAAAACTGACCAATCCCCTCCTCAGGGTTCACATACCTCAGACCAGCAAGGACAGGGTGCACTTCATCTGCATAGCAGCATGCTGTCCAATACCCTGATGGGCCGCAAGCACCTCATTTGCATAGCCACCCTGAGCATTGTGAGGGAGTCACAAAGACTGTGTGGCTAACCTTAACCCAAACCCCTCAGCCATGGCGTTGATTCCAACCCACAGTGACCCTGTAGGACGGAGGGGAATCGCCCTGTAGTTTCCAGGGCTGTGTGTGTTTGTGGAAGCCAATGGCCTCACCTTCCTCGCTCAGAGCAGCTGGTGGGTCCCCAGCCTTCAGTCAGCAGCCCGGTGTTTAATCCCAGTGCTGCCTTCCCCAGATGGGTCTGCCACCTCCTGGAAGCTGATCTCCTGATCAGCTCTCCCTTCCACTGCTCCACACTGTACGGTTCTGCCCAGGAAGGTGTCAGAGTGGGTTCAGAGCTTTGCTGACGGAGCCTGGAGAAGTGGGTGCAGGCAGACCTGTGTGGGTGTGTGGGGTGTTCCCATGTGGTTTACTGAAGTGGAAAGCACTCTGCAATCTTTGCATTTTGTCTCCTGAGATCCCCATCCTCTGCTTTTTCCTCTTCTGTGCCAAAAGGTGCGTGGTTTGAACCCACGAGCCATTGCACAGGAGAAAGGCGAGCCAGTGCTTCCATAGAGCTGTGCGGGCCCAAAAGTCCGTGGGCACGTCTGCTCCGCTCGGCAGCTCCCCCTGAGCTGGAACCCATGAGGGCAGTGAGGTGGGGGCTGGCCTCAGTGGTATGTTTCCACCCTGCCCTCAGGGGCCTGCTCCTCTCATCAAAACTTCCAGCCCCAGAAATGGGACGGACAGCCGCCATGAACTGGAACTGAATAGACAGCAGCAAGTAAGAAGAGAAGTTTACATACAGAAGGAGGTGTTCTGGGACGGTTACCAGGGAAGACCAAGGGGAGAGTGGAGACTCAAAATAAGTAAATGGTTCATAACAAACAACCCTTTGCCGTCAAATTGTACCTGATTCATCATTGAGCAAATTTTCAG